TCACTGCATCCCAGCATGGGTTTTGATGTGGTATGTACTGAAGCAGCTCCTCTGGATTAGCATGTAGGTGTTATGAAACAAGTCATTGAGCAGCAATCTGTTGTCAGTATACCTGGCTATTTGTTATGAAAAAGTTCACCAGTGGGTCAGTTTGCAGTTCTGCACTTCCCCGTGTACCATGCTGTTTCTTAATGTTTTTGATATGTGCTACAAGGGTTAGGTTTCTTGCAAACCTAAAATCAGAAGTTTATTATTTTAAACTGAGTTATTTTGGAATTGCCTTCTTGCTTTGTGAGAGTGCTTTTGATTGTTCTTTTTGCTGGATTCTCGCTGCTTAAACACCTCCAATACTTTGTGCATCGAAGAGTCTCCACTCACAGTTGTGTTTAGACTTCAGTACCTTCATGAGCTTTGTAATTTTGAACATCTTGGTGTCACTTGCTCTTAGTCTTTAATTTCTTTTTTCACATATGTGGGTAGTGATCTTTTGATCACCTAGCTTCAGGATGGTGTATTGCAAAGATTTCACAAATTATGCTGGTAACAGAAATTTTCAATGCTTTTTGGTATTAGAAGACAGTCCTGAAGAAAGTCCTCTATATGAACAATATAAAAGAGCACATATTGTATGAAGCCAGGATCTCACCAAGTAGTATGTACTACAGTTATATGTACCAGAACTAAGTTTCCACATGAATTTCAGTTTTGCTCTGTAGACTGCGTGCAGCATTATAGTCTTGGTGTCACCATTGCACAGAATATTTTGCAATGCAAGGATAAAACCTCAGCTCTGTCACAAGATAATGTGCTTCTCTTTTCTTTATGTGGTCTTCTGTGTTCTTTTTGCTGTCTGTCTAAGTCATCAAATTTAATTTCTCTGTAATTAAAATGGAGTCATATGAAGGATCACTGGTCATGACATAACATCTATGCTCCAATTATCCATAAAACTACTGAACTTTGCAGAGGTCATATTTGGGGTCACTAGCACTTTGAAAAGGTACTTCTGAGGTATTCACTCTGCTATATCCAGCATAAATCAGAGGACTGACTTGTTTTAAGCTCTTCAGAAGGGCAGTTTTGAGCACTGAAGTTTGGTTCCTCTCCTGAGCTGTATATGTTATGGCTCTTAGCCTTGTCCACTTTAGATGATGGAAAACTGTAACAAGGAATGGTATTGTGAATTAGGTACTCATGCTTTTAATACACCCAGGACAATCCACTGGTTTTACTGTTCAGAGCATGTTCCACTCAGCTGTGGTCCCTGCCCTCATCAGCCTGCCTTCATTATGGGAATTTTTCTAGTGCAGCAGAAGTAAGAAAAGCTATGACTTCATTTAAGGCAGAAGTTCCTCAGGCTTATGGGCAGCAGGATACTGGCTCCTCTGCTCACTGAGAGCAAGTTGAAGTATAAGCAATTTAGTTTCCTTCCAGAGAGGACTGCTTTGTGCTGGGAAGAAAGTTTCTTCTATCCCACCACCTTTCTGGGGGATGGAAATGTTAGGCTAAGTACCTTTTTCTGGTTGGAAAGGACATCCCCTTGCTATCAGAATAGTTGATGAGAGGCATGGAATTTTTTGGGGGTTGGATTTGGAAGATTTTCCCCCCAGTTCTCATAGCAGTCAATAAGAACACCTCGATAGTTCTTAATTCAGACATGTACTTGGGTTGTGTTTTCCTGACAGACAGCACTTGGAAGTGAATGAAGAGCAGAGATGCTCTGAAATGAAGTGGAAGTTTCCAGTGTCTCATACAAGAAGTGCAGAACTGCCATTTTTTCCTGCATTTATTGGGCAGTTAATTTCACATGATTTGGACAAGTTTTTCCTTTTCTGTCTCAGACATGGTGGTGCTTGCTTACCAGCCACCTTATTACCTTGAATTGCAATGCAGCATTGCTTATGGTTTTGGCACATCTTTCAAGTTGCAAGAGCCTTCAAAAAAGCATAAATATCCTAGGTTTGTATTGCTAACATGACTAGGTCTCTTTGGCAAGTGTTAGCATTTGCGTTGAGGTGTCTGGATCTGCACAGTTTGTTGCTTGTTAGTTCCAGATGATTTATTAACACTGGAATGGATTGAACAGCATCTGTCACTAAGTACCTGTGGTCATGAGCAGCCATGTGACTGTTGATTAGTCCAGGAGATTTCATAGAGTGTAACCAGAATTACCTTCTCATGCAAGAAGTCGTAAGACACTTTTGAACGTTCTACAATAGTTTTCAGGTCTTAAAGGTAACACACCTGCATGTACAAGCAAATACTATTACTTTAAAAAGTTGTGACTATGTATGTTGTGTATATTTGAAACAGTGTGTCTAACTAATGCTATATAAACAGTATAGCACAGTTCTGTTTTCTTTTTGGTGCCTATAGAAAAGATATTTTAAAAACTAATTTTTTTAAAATTGCATGTCAGCCATAAAATCACAAGTATTAGAATCACAAGTTTTAGAATCACAAGTAATTAGAAGCATAAAAATCCAAATTTGGGATTTTTGGATATGTAATGTTTGTTATTTAGCATTTTCAGTACTTGCAACCATATTCCTAGGCAGGACAGGATTTTTCCAGGATTTCCAGACACACCCATGCTAAGTGCAGAAGATCTGGCTGTTACAGTGATGTTTTCAAATCTAGGAAATTTTGGACTTTGATGCCACTTCAAGAGATCTTTTTTATAACTTTCCATATTTTAAAAATTACAGTGAACCAGCTATTGCTAGGATATCCCTAAACTTGTTCTGGATCTGCTGCCAAAATTAACTGTCTTGTGGTCTAATAGATACTGAGACTGTTTTAACTTGTGGGGTTTTTTTTCATTTGGGGGGGGCTAGAAGTTTTTCCTCAAGTTTGTCTGGGACATAGAGGCTGTTCATTAGATCATGTATTTGCTACGCCAGAGTGCTCTACTGATTTAACAGTCCCATTTTAAAGGCTGTTACTACTATTTATTATATTAGAGTAGTGCATAGTCAATCAGTTGTGATCAGAGCCCTGTTGGGACAGGCTGTGGAAAAAATGAGTAAAGGTTTACTTTTGCCTTGAAGATACCACAGTCTAAATAGATGAGAAAGAATGGAAGAAATAGATAAAAACAACAGCAAAAAGAGTAGATTTGTAAAATTGTTTTGCAGTTTTTTTTCTCTTCATAGCATTCTTTTAGTGGTTTTGGCCTGAATTGAGAGTAAAAAATAAGATTTCTACGTTTGAGGCCATTTTTTCATTATACTCATTTTAATGTCTGTACAGCATCAGCATCTGAGACCACAGGAACTTAACTGCTTTACTTGTTGGCATTACACTGAAATTGATTTCGGTGAACCATAAAAAGTTTGGCCCTGAAGGTAAAATTACACTGTGTGAATGTTCCCAGCATACTGCTTTGGGGATAAACATGTCTTAAATCAACTCATCGCTTACAGCTAAATTCCTTCTCCAAATGCATTTTCTGTGTAGATAATAATGTTCAGAAAGACTGATTTTCTTTAAAACCATAAAGTTTTTTGGACGTAATTCTATCAATAAACATATTTGAGCACAGTAGCAAAGAATTCACGTAGTCCTAATAAGGATTGTGGGTTTTTGTGAAAGGAAGCTCCTTTCACGAGAGGCATATACATGGGCATATACCAACATTTTAAATTAGCTTTCATCAGTACCTCTAATTTGTTTAAGTGTGTTCCAGCCGTTTGCATATTGTGTTTGCTCACATTTACATAATGAAAACTTTTGGACTTCATTGAAACTTTTTTTGGTAATTGTGCTTTTGAAAAATTAAAATTGAAGTTTATGATACCCTGGCTCCTACTTTCTTGGTTCATAGAGTGTCGTTAAGATGCCATCACTTGAGAGCTTTGGTACAGTGATGTTTCTGTTGTGGCTTAATATGTTGTGGGTTCAGATCACGCTAATTGTGGCCTTAAGAGGTTGGACTAAAGAATACCATCTGGGTTTGTACCCAGATATTCTTGGATTAATATTTTGAGACTTAGATCTTGTCCTGTCTGGAATTTAAACATAGTTCCCCAAACTTTAAAGCGAAGGCAAGCACCATCTGAGACTCCTAATGAGCCCTTTTTTCTCTCTTTAATTTGCCTTTTTTCTCTATTTTTTAAAATTCCTGTAGCCAGTGAAATTCAGGCAGTTGCTTCCAAACTATTTTTACAGCCCCATACGGACAAAGTGCTTTAGTTTGTTCCTCAGTTTAATTCCCAAACTAATAATAGTTAGAAAGTTCTTACATCTGTATCTCCGTTTTTCTTAGGATATAAGGGCAGAAAAAAAAATCCCTAGACATTAGGCAAGACTTTGAAGTGTGAACAACTTTGTTACATTTAAGATGGCAAGTCGGGTTTTTTTTCCAGTTGCTCTTTGAAATGTTTCCTTTTGTTTCAGGTCTAAAATTTCAATTCTATTCCTACATGGAAACAAGAGTCTTAAACTCCTCCATAGTGGGAAATCAGTCAGGGTTTTTCTTCTATTTAGAAACCTTTGACCCATCCCTCCCCTGTTCAGTGAGTAGAAATGGCAAGGTTACTTGTGCTGAGGGTGACTACAGATCTGCTCTCCATGTAACTCATGACCTGAACCTGCAGGGGAGAGGGTTTCAGGACTATGCTTATGGAAAAAAATGCTTTAAAAGTATTTTTTTGCAAAAGAGAGTCTTTCTTGTACCCCAGAGTATATATTAATTGGTTATAATCCTTAGTTTTGAGGAACCTAATTATTCACACAGCAGCACATGGTGAATTCACAAGTACAGTTAGAATTTTCATTGTACTGACAAGCAGCCTTTTCTGAGGGACAGAGAGGATTTTTTTGTGTAAAGCTCCAAGTTCTATAATTAGTATAATATAGTAAAGGATTCAGAAAAGTGTCAAAACATATACAGGAGCTTAGAAGTTTAACCAGCTAGCCTTTAAGTTGTCTAACTGGATATGTCATTATTGTAAGTGATTTAATATCTGTTTGCATTTGGGTTTTTTCCTTTCTTCCAGATCATTACTAAATATGTTTATGAATTACTGCAGAAAGAATGCCACTTGAAGAAAGTAACTCTCCCAGTAAGTATAACCTATCTTTCCAAAGGCATTTTTTGTTTGAATCTGTACACAGCATAGCCTGCAATTCTGTATTCATATAAAGACAAGGTGTGGCTCTGTGCAGGGCACTGTCTCAAGGACACTGCCTTCGCATGCTTCATGTGCATGTGTCTGGAGATGTGGTTCTACCTCACTTCTCATGTCTTTGATTCTCCAACTGAGCCTTCCTTACCTTACCAGATACCAGAATTTTCAAAATATGGTGGTTTTGATAAGGGAGCTGTAAGCTTTCTGTGAAGTATTTGCGAATTTTTTAAGACCTCTAAAGCTGGATGTAGAGAACAAATATGTCTTTGGAGGTAGAGTAATACACTTACATTGAGTTTCAGTAAACTACTCCAAGTTGTTTTTTGAAATACACTTCTTCAGCGGCTTGTAATATGTATGTAATATAAAGTGCTTAAGTTGTTCAGTGAACATATTTTCTCAACCCTTGGAATGGATGAAATGTTCCCCCACATGTGAGAGTGTTTGTAAATACATGTGATGTGATACAATGATGTTCAGTTATTTTGGTGTTCCATACTATAGAGCTTAGGAGAGACTGTAGTGTGATAGCACTGTTCAGGATTTCCATGATTATCATAAAGGATTCTTAAGCTCTTTGAGAAGCTTTTGCATTGCTCTTGTTCTCAGCCAGTCCTTCTTATTCATTTGAGGAAAACCCATTTAGGATAAGGAAGGAAAAGATCTTTGCTTTAGCAGCTCTGTAATGTTTCACCATTAACATTTCCATTCCCCTAAGTGTTGTTTAGGGAATGTGTTGATAACCTGCCCAAACTACTAAAGGTTTCCCAGATGGGCTTTACCAGTGTCTCCTGGTCGTGGCAGAAGGAGCTATCCTAGTTGGTTCTTGGAGCAGTTAAAGAGTGAGTAGCAGCTCTCCTCCATAGTCCCAGCCTGCTGTGCCATGTAGGCTGCACCAGTGTCCCAAGACTGAGAAAGCATTTCCTCACTTGAAGTTTCTCTGTGTAGACTGAGAAGAGGATGGGTTTATTGTGGCACTCTGCCTGGTGCAGTGCTAGCCGTGATCTCCAACATCTTTGCACAGATAGTTTCCTTTGTTGAGGAAGTTTTGGTCCAAGAAGTATTTTCATGTACCAGACAGGTAATGTATTGAAAAACTTTCTCAAGCCATGTCACCCTCTCTCTGTGAAACTGGGAAGTTGTCATTTATAAACTTTAACGTGCCTATATTTTGAGGCTGTAGGACTTCCTTTGAATGTCCCTTCTTAAAAGGAATATAAGGAAAATGTGCTTTTAAGTAATGCAATTAGCTCCAAAAAATGAAGAAACTTGGAGTAAGTATACAGCCTCTCCATCACCTCTGTCTCACATGTGCAGACTCATCTGCCTGGCTCTAAGATTTGGGTTTCTTGGCTTAGGAGAGGAATGGCCCTGTCTAGCTCCCACTGATGAATTAATCTGTGTTGACTCATATTTATAAATTAGGTAGTAAGCATCGATGCAGTTTGTCAGTAGTACATTCAATTCTCAAATGTCTTGCTTCCAACTTCTGCAAAGTGTCATAATTTAACTGCATTTTGGAGCAAAGGAAAAACTCACAAAATATATGCAGGTATCTAATTGTGAGCACTGCGGAAAAATTGGCACAAGGTGTGAGCACCATTCTTCAGTAATGGCTGTTATGTGTAGAGAGCCCTCACCACAGACAAAAATAGGTTATCAAGACATGTACAAAAGTGATAAAAATTAAACAGTGTATGCAGAAGCTGAAAAATTAAAGCTGTGTAAAGGCTATGTTTAAATCACAGGCTGCCAAATAGCAACACAAACCCCCCTAGTTTAAACTAGTAAAGGAAACTAGTAGTAGAAGTAATAAGCTTTTAGCAAGAAAATAGAAGAGAGTATAAATGTTGGCAAGTTACATATAAAATCATAGCAAGATCACCAAAAAACCAGATTCGAGGACCATGTTACAGTTGTAAAGCCTAATAATAAAAGAGAGCTGATAAGGCTGATAGATGAACTGCAGGTAAAATGAACACTCAGATCAAATAAGAAAAACAAACATTATTTCCAATGTTACTTGTCAATTTCCACACTTAACTGTTTTTATTTTTTTAACAGGATGTAATTCTGAGCAACTGTCTACAATTTGAAATATGAATAGAGGAGACCTTAGGACAAATTAGTATATCATATCAGATTCCAGGATGAGGGTTTTTTTCAGCCCAGGGTTCTACTAGAAGTCAAATATGAAGCTGCAGAACAACCAGCTTGTATTTAAGTTACTTAAGTTACTACTGAAATCAGATAATGATACTACTACTACTACTACTACTACTACTACTGCTGCTGCTGCTGCTGCTGCTGCTACTACTACTACTTCTAATAATAATACCACCACCAGCAGCAACAATTATAACAGCAACAATAATGATAACAATGCTAGCAGTCACAGTGTAGTAATGTTAATAACAATAAATCATGGGAAGTAAGTACAGATTTATTTTTTAAAAACCACCAGAATTCATTGGACTCAAAGATTCCATGAAGAAGAAAACTCTTGTCCGTAAAAGAATGCATATATATCCAACAAGTTGTCAACAAGCTTACCAAATGCTTTTCAAAAACATAGAAGGGAATCCCTTACGAGTTAATAATTGGTTAAAAGGAGAAAAAGATGTTCATATTTTACAGATGAAATAATTTGTTACAAGTGAAGTGTTATTAAGGGCTGATATAGCTGTAAATAAACGGAAAAAAGGAATTAATAGAAGCTAACAAACTTTTCTGTTGGTTTTAGTTTCTAAAATTCTTTGAAATAGTTAAAACTTAAGCTGATTGTGATGAGTTGGGGAATTATTTTGTGATGGTGAATAACTGGATCATTAAATGACATGAGATTCAGTTCTGGTAAATGTTAAATTATGGAGAAGATAGCTTGCTCTGTAAACACAATGGTGGGCTCTAAATGAGGTATTACAACTCAGGAAAGAGCTTGGTGTGATTGTGAATAGTTTTCTGAGAACATCAGTTAGTGTCAATGGCAGTCAAAAACTCTCAAAGCAAATAGATGTTAGGAGTTATGACGTATTGAGAACAAAACAGAAAAACATCATCATTCCAGTCTTTATGTGGGCCTTCATTTTGAACACTGCATGGAGTCTGTACACCATATCAAAAAGGATATGAAGAATTAAAAAAAGAAATACAAAAGAGGGTTGCAATGCTGATCACAGGCATGAAATGCTTTTCAAATAAAAAAAGACAAAGATTCTTCTGTTTGGAAAATAGAAGACTGAGGAAGGAATGTGACATATCTATAAAGTCATGAAGCGAGTAGAGATGATGAATAGGGAGTGGGGTTTGCTTTTTTCATAATAGAGAACCTAAGGGACATCTAATTTAAATTATCAGGCAGTAGGTCTCTACTGGAAGAGAGACAGTGCTATTTCATGTATATCCCAATTATATTGTGGAACTCATTGCCACACAATACTATCAAGGAGGAAGGTATAAGTGCATTGAAAAAAAGCACTTGGCAATACTAAGGTGGGATAGGTGCCTTTAAATATTGTACATGTTTGCCCAGTTATATAAACTCTGGATCACAAGGTTCCAAATTTACCAGTAGTCAAAACTCTATAATCACTCTGTAACCACCTTATTCTCTTACTATTCCCCTAAACAATCTGCCAGTTGTCAGAAAGAGGACCCTGGGACCTTAATTTGACCAAAATGGCTCTTATGTATATGACCATGTTTTGTTTAACATTTTAGAGGTGAATACAGAAACACTCATCACAGGTGATCAGAAAGCTACTGTGTTGACTTTACTTTTTCTGTCAGCTGATAATGAAGTTGGCAGTGTAATGATGTTTGAATATTTGAAATGTGTTTCAGGGCTGTGTTAGGTGAAGTGTGCTTTTATTTTAGCATGATTTTAGTTGGTAGTAGAAATGCTATCCTTCAAAAGTTTAGTGTAACAGCATTTCATGTTCTCTCATCTTTCTTAATTTCAACCTTTTGTGCAAAGTCCAGTTTGCTGTCTTTATTTTGCATTCTCAGGTGGCAGCTGCATTTTGGATATAAAAGTTACATTTCTTTTCGGATAAGAAAATAAGACAGTTAGAAAATCAGGAAAGCTCCCCCATTATTTTATTATGCCAGTATCTCTGACAAAACAGGATTCTGAACATTTTTTTCCACACAGGGATGCTGAGATCCACATTTCATTATTGCTGCTGTAAAGTATTGTACTTCTTTTAATGTTCAACATACACTACTGGACTTGAAATTTGTAATGAAGAGTCACATATTCAGGGAGAGGCCATTCAGTTATTACTTTTAAATTTCTCAATTTATGCTCCACTGAAGGTTATGTTAGGAGTATAAATACTGAAACTTTTTTGTCCAGATGAAGTATTTGTATTTCTCTAGTTTTAATGGCATAATCAGTGATTGACCTCTTCTGTTCTTCAGCTGTTGAGAGCTAATAGTGGATGCTTCTGAATTAAATGCATCTTTCAAAGTCTCACTTTGCAGAATCTTCTAAGTTATCAATGCTTTCCTCTTCAGTAGGTAAAATTTCATTCAGTAGTTCTCTTGATCTGTTAGACATCCAAGAACTTTTTTTTTTTTTTGAGAAGCAATGATGTGTTATTTCCACTGTATGTTCCTTTTGTCTATTTTGCTACCTAAGTGTTGTGGTTTAACCCCAGCGGGCAACCAAACACCACGCAGCTGCTCACACAGTCCCCCACCAGTGGGGTAGGGGAGAGATTTAAAAGGGTAAAAGCTAGAAAAACTCATGGGTTGAGATAAAGACAGTTTAATAGTGAAGTCAAAAGCTGCACACACAAGCAAAGCCAAACAAGGACTTAATTCACTGCTTCCCGTGGGCAGACGGTGTTCAGCCATCTCCAGGTGAGCAGTGCCCCATCACACACTTTGGGAAGACAAACACCATCACTCCAAATGTCCCCCCCTTCCTCCTTCTTCCTCCCACTTTATGTACTGGGCATGATGTCATATGGTATGGAATATCCCTTTGGTCAGTTTGGGTCACCTGTCCTGACTGTGTCTCCTCCCAACCTCCCATGCACCCCCAACTTCTCTGCCAGCATGGCAGTGCAGAAAGCAGCAAAGGTCTTGGCTCTGTGTGAGCTCTGCACAGCAATAACAAAAACATCTCTGCATTATCAACTCTGTGTTCTGCACAAATCCCAAACATAGCCCCATACTAGCCACTGTGAAGAAGGTTAACTCCACTTCAGCCCAAACCAGCACATTAAATAAATTCAATACTTGTTTGTAAAATTTGTACCAGTTTTAGTTTCTTAAGTTAGTTGTGGTAATGATCAAAAGTTAATTAACTGCTTGTAATATTGATCAGCAGTTCTCAGTTTTAGATTTTGGAGTGAAAAGACTACTAAAGCCTGGTCTGGTTTTGAGCATCTTGGGTTGATAATGGCTAAGAACTGAATATTGGGTCATTGCTGATTTGGTAGCATGGGTGTCAATAAGATTAATTTCAAAAGTAGTTGAATTTTATATCATATCCTGTTATCTTTATATACTTTATGTATTTTAGTATAGTTATATATACTATCAATTATATATTGGTAGTAGCTGTGCAAAATACTAACTAGACAACTCACGATAGCTGCCTACATTCATAAACCATAAGGTATTGGTTTGCATTGGAAAAACAAATTCAAGAAAAAGAGTTCCACTTTCAACAGTACTTTTAAACCATAAATGATCAGCATAACTTGGGTGTGTTTAACATGCCTAGCTGAAGATTACTGAAAAGTGGTTGTTGGCACGTGAATCAAATTGGTAAGCTAAAAAGCATTTCACTGGATTTGTTCAATTTGTATTTAAATACTGGGTCAGAAATCAGTAGCCTTGAGTAGGTTCAGAAGAGCAAGTAGCTAATAAATACAAATTATTTTATGCAACCTTAGTGTGTCCAGCATTAAATGGTATTGATTTGTCAATAAAGTAAGATTGGGCACAGGAATGACATTTATGTGCTTCTTTTAGTGAAAGTTGGATCAAATAAATTATTACTGTTTGAAGATAAATTAGCTTGACAAGAAGTTTCCAAATGTGGTTAATTTGGGGAAAAGAATGAAGAGTTATGTTTTATGATATTGGTAGGTAATTTCAGCTGTTTGAAATTTACTTGTTTGCAGAAGTATGGACTAGTTACATCTAGGTAGATGGGCTGGGGCTGGTGGTATGAGATTTAACAAGACCAAGTACCAGGTCCTACTCTTTGGCCACAGAAGCATGCAGCACTGCAGGCTGAGGGAAGAGTGGTTGGAAAGCAAACTCAAGGAGAAGGACCTGGGAGTGCTGGTCAACAGCTGGCTGAACATGAGCCAGCAGAGTGCCCAGATGGCCAAGAAGGCAAATGGCATTCTAGTGTCTATCAGGAATAGTGTGGTCAGCAGGACTAGGGAGATGATTGTCCCTCTGTACTCAGCACTGGTGAGGCCACACCTCAGGTACAATGTCCAGTTCTAGACCCCTCACTTCAAGAAGGACATTGAGATGCTGAAGTGTGTACAGAGAAGTGCAACAAAGCTGGTGAAGGGTCTGGAACACAAGTACTGTGTGCAGAGACTGAGGAAATTTGTTATTTAGCCTAGAGGAGGCCTTATCACTCTACAACTACCTGAAAGGAGATTGTAGCCAGGTGGATGTCAGTCTACTGGACAAGATGAGAAGACATAGTCTCAAGCTGTGCCAGGGTAGGTTTAAGTTAGACATTAGGAAGAATTTCTTCATAGAGGGAATGATAAGGCACTGGAATGTACTGCCCAGGGTGGGGGTGGAATCACTGTCGCTGAAGGTGTTTAAGGAGAGACTGAACATGACACTTTTCAGTAAAGCATATTCTTTACCACAGTTTCTATTTTTGCACAAGGTGTGAGATAAAGTACATTTCCTGGTGCAGAAATTGCAAACTGAGGCACAGGAGATGTTACTTCATTTTGGAGCACGTCTTCAGTACTGTGGCAGGTATTGAAGAAAGGCGTGTTCATTCTTCCACTTAAGAATTCCTTTTGTTCAAGTAGCCTCATTGACTTCATAAAAAAAATATTTGGTAGGACTTGCATTAAAAAAGGTCTGGAAATTCATGCAGAATTAATTTTTCCTGTGGTAAGGGTAGTTAATAATACGTACCCATGTATGAGAAAAAAATTACGTAATCCAAATAGCAGCTCTTTCTTTCTTGACATGAAGGTCATTTCCTGACCCACCTTTCTTCGCTGTTGCAGAGCATGTTCCTAGCAGCTGTACAGTTAGCCTGTAGAAGTGGAGTACTGTGGATGGGGAGGTTTGCCTTCTCTTCCTTTTCTATGTACCCATATGGTAGAAAGGGAAGAATGAGTAGATGTGATTTTTTTTTTTTTGCTCTCATGATATTTACACCAGCACAGTTCTTTTACCTTGAGACAGGCTTGCTAAACCAAGCATAAAAACTGTGTTATTGAACAAAAAAAGGCTGCTTTACTCTCTTAAAGACAAAACATGGTATTAGGTTATGGTCACTGAATATCAAAGTTACATGCAAGTACAAAACATACATGCAAATACTACAACAATGTAACTAAGCATTAACCCAAGTGCTGGACTGTTAGTGAAGCTGTCATTTAACCCTGAATTGGATTTCTGTGTTTTGTTAGGCCTATCCTATTAAATTCATAGTAGTAAGATTTACAGTACTAGTTCCTACCTGGCTTATTGGGTATTTATGTTGAGATGGCTCATTAGGAACTCTCCAGGACTTTTTTTTCATATTATGTGAGAACTTCATTGTTGTATTAGGTGTGTCAGAGGTGCGAAATTGCTTAATCTCCCTTCTCCCCCTCTGACTGCTAACTTGTTGATTTCCTTTTTTCTCAGTAAATTTCTGTTAACAACCTTTTACCCCTTTTTTTTATTTAAATCTCCCTTGGATTGCTGTTCTAAAATGTGATATATTTCTATGTTTTGAAGTTACATTGCACAGATAGTAGCTTTTGCTCTATTTTTTATTTGGCACTGGGCACACATTATTCCTTATCATATGCATTCGAATAGTTGTTAAATTTCGTGGCTAACTTTATAACTACAGAGGTTGTTTTAAAGATTTTTGTTGATTCATTAAAGTGCATGTTGTCTGTAACTGCAGGTTGATGCTACTGACAGTGAACCAAAGAGCTTTATCTTTATGAGTGAAGAGGCATTAATAAATCCTGACAAGCTGCTGGTCCTGATTCATGGTAAAGGTGTGGTCAGAGCTGGTCAGTGGGCTAGGAGACTTATAGTTAATGAAGATCTGGACAGTGGCACACAGATACCATATATAAAGCGAGCTATTGAGGTAAGTGAAAGTGCATGTATGCACAGTTGTGTGTACATACGGATGTGTGTGTGTGTACGTATGTATGAAGAGCTGTAAATCTGTGATGTTTTAATTTTTTTAATCAGCATTCTGTATTTCCTGTATGGTCATTTTATGGGAACTTGTTTGGTTTTATCAGAACATTTTTCTAATGGAACTAAGTTTCTCTCTTACAGTTAAAAAGCTCTTAGTTGCACGTCATTTTATGGCAGCACTGCTGCATAGTTTAATATGTCAGATCGTGTGACAAGGGCCCTTAGCAGGTGATGAGATGCAATAGAAGGCACTACAGAAACGTGTTATGATTTGAAGTGTTTTCTTTTACATTTCATTACATTTCTACATATTTCATTAAATTTGTGCATATTCAACATCTGTTGTAATCTCATAATAACATGAGCTTTCATGATAACAGCAGGCTTTTTTGCTGGACTTGTACTGAATTTATTAGAGGCACAGTCTTTCTCAGTTTTGCACTGAATACCAATTCATTCTGATTCATTTACCAATACTTGACAATAACAGAGTATTTTGTTACATATACATCTATTTGAGAGACAATGGACAATTCGAGATATGCTTTTAACATTGGAATTTTTGGCGTGTAATTCATCTCTTACATCTGATACCTAAATGCAAAGTCCTGAAGTAAACATAGAAGAGCTTATCTAAGACTCAATTTGTATTATATTTACCAAGTTAAGCTAATGTTGTTTAAATATCAGTGTTGTCACTGTGATTGCTTCACATTTTGCTAAATTAAGTTTAATTTTTTGCAGTTGTCCTTGAAATATTCAGTATAGAAAATGGCTCTCTTTGTTTTTTTTCAATGGAGCAAAGAAGGAAAACATGTTAAAACATTAGGCCATTAAGTTATTTTTGGTGTGAAAAAGAAATCTGGTCATGTGAAAGTGAGGCTTGCCTTCTTCTAACATCAAGTATTTTGTGGCTTTTAAATCAAGGCTCAGAGACAGAACAAAAAATACCTTAGCATTATTGAGTGCAGTACAGGTTTATGGTAGGTCCAGTATAGGACCTTTAGTGCAGGTTCCAAAACCTTTGCCAAGAAACTCAGAGCTGTAGCTACTTAGTTTTTTTGCAGCAGTGCTTATATGGTTGTATTTTTCTTCTTTCCTAGAGGTGATGCTGCCTTGGTTAACATGAGAAACTGCGTAATTAAAACTGGGATACTATCCCTAAATTAACAGATAATGTTTAATGGCATATTTCTAGTATAGCGGAGTTATACTACCTTTTGCTGTTTTGTTATTTTTATGTATTTTGTGCAATGATTGTGCCAAAGTGACAGAGATCAGACCTATGTTCCCTCAAAATTGTTATTATACTTAAAAGCAGATTATTTCTTCATTTTGAATGCTTCTTAGGAAAAAGCATTCACAAAAAAAACCCCAAGTGTTTTATGAGAAAGTATCTTTTCGAAAATGCAATCATTATATCACACTGGAATATTGATCTTTGTGTTCTTATCTTCGAGCTTTTTCTTAACATGATTTCTAAATGTGTAGTTCTCTTTAGCTGAGTAATTCCAGCTACTGTAAAACTCACTGTTCCTTTTTGTGCATCTTAAAATTCTGGTAAACGTACCACATGTTCAGAATGCATACTATTTGCAATGATTTATTCTGTGCAAAATGACGATTAGATCATGTTCCATTGTGTTTCGTTCAAATTCAATTGTGTCATTAAAAATGTTGCTATATTTTACATCTTTTAATCACTATCAGGAGTTGCTTGTATATGTGGTTAGATAAGGCAATATTATATGCGAGTTGGACCCCAATGAAGGTATTTAGTATCATTAGGTTATGAGTAAAATGAGAATGCAAAGAGTTACGTGCTGGTATCATGTGAACTTCATGTACAGATTATATAAATTACACTTCAGAATACAGGACATTATGATAGAGTGAGTGTAAGGACTCCAATTTTAGTGAATAATGAAAACTGCATCCTTTTCAGAGTTTTCTGGTGTTCAGTCCTCTAGTTGGTTTAGGCAATACTGTCTCTTATGAAATGAAAATAACTAGCCTAGACAATAATTGGCTTGAATGAAAATTGTGGTAACTCCTCATTCAACAATACCAGTTTGAAGTGAAGAATTATCTGTCTTGATCTTCCTGTGTTTCTTCTAAGAAGAGGTCTTATCCTTGAATGAAACCAACAGACCTTATCAAAGCATAAGATTACAGTGCTGATGACAAGAAAGAACATGGACATTTTTCTAATAGACTTTGTGAAGTGGATAATAGTATCTAGGATTTGAAAATTCCACTGATCTGTTGTGAGATTGAAACACATGCGGACAGCTTAAAGCTGAAGACTAAATTTTCATTTAAAAAATAAAAATTAAAAATTGCTAAAGTACTGACTTTCTTGCAGGAACTGGTTCAGAAATATCTGCTTTTCTTAAAACAGAATCAAATACACAAACCAAAAAAGGCCCTTTAAGTGGGCCAAAACCATATCTTTTTCTCTACTGCTTTTCTCTGTGCTTCTCTTTTCAGTTAATTTCTTGGAAAAACTGAGAACAGGGTTGCAAGAGCTGGAGTAATTGTTTGGCAGTGGATTAAGCAGGATGAACTGATACTTCTCCTCTAAGCAGGAAGTTAAGGGAAGAGTAGTAACTGTTTTTCTCTGATTCAACACTTTTGAGGAAAAAAATAATAAACCCCAGTTTTCTTTAAAAGCATGTGTGGAATAAGGGAGCAATGTACAGGCTTAACATTTTTCATGCTACCAGTATCTTGGGGCTGCTACACATTGGAAAGAAAAGATTCAAGGAGAAATATCCTGGTGAGAATTCATGTAGCTAGAAATCTGTTTTTTCTTTTCAACTGGGCTGTTCCTGTGGGTAATGCTTCTCCTGTGTTCCATATCAAGCTCTGTTGTGTTGGGTGTAGTTGACAAGGGTTTATGCGAAGAGGTAACATTGTTGTGTTAATTTGAAAGTTTAGACTTGGTAGTGTAAAAGAGATGTTTAGATATAAAAGAAGAGGAAAGCTAACAAGCAACAAGATAGAGATGGTAGGAAAAGGAGAAAGGAGAAAAGTCTATACAATGTGAGAGACAGATGTGTAAATACATTAAAACATGGTCGGAGAAACCCTATTTTAGAAAAGCAAGTCTGAAAAAGACAAATCCAATAATAAAGCAGTAAGAATGCAGCAAAGGTTTGATTAAAATGAAATATTTATAATAAAGATATTTAAAACAAAAATACCTTGGCAATTTCCTATAAATACAGTATAAAAATATTGCATTGATTTGTGATTTTGTTGAAATAGAAATTTTCTGCTGAAATGAGGGACTGTTTCACTTAGTGAGAATTCTGCACTGAAGATATTCCACTTCATATAATTTACATCTATTTTTTGCAAAACAGTCAGGTTCTTCTCAGATCAGTTAATTGTACAGTCCAGTAACTGAAGTGGTGCTGGGAGAAGATGATGAGAGACAGAGGTAAATTCTTCAATTCAGTGATGAGGGCCTTTACTTAGGATGTCAGGAATTAAGGATTCACATTCCTGACTTCATAATGGTAGTTCAGGGGCTCCCATTTTCTCTGTGTTAGACAAGGAGAAGCTGAAGTTGATCTGCTTATGGAGGAAATTTGTCCCTTTTGGATGCAGGAACTCAGCTTGCCTTGGTTTGGATATTATGAAGAACTCTGGAGTACTTTTATCTTTGATACCTCTCCTCTAAGGAACAAAGAGGACATCAGTTTACTTCATGGCTACAAAGAAACTGTTTTCTGTGTCTTTGGAAATTCAGTATGTTTGTTACTTAGGATAGCTGTGATTCCAAGGATGCTAATAAAATTCAACCACAGCAACTGTCAGAGCAATCGTAATCTTCTTTGGGTATTGTAATATATTACTGAACCATAGAATTTCACTAAAATGGACAATAATTTGCTATATAATTTTCTTTCAAATAACTGCATTTCTGACTCTGGTATATGTATTTGGTTTATTCATTGTGTTAGACCACAGAACTACATTGCTTGTAAAGTCCTTCTTAGCAGAGAAAAGTTGTATTTAGAACTGCTGCTTCCGTGGTGATTATAAGAAGACGTGTAGGTGGTTGGATCTTTGAGAGCTTTCTAAAAACATAAACAAAAATTACAATGTATCATTAAATAACTCATCACATATAATTGACTTAAAGTCCACCATGTTCTGGGAAGAAAATTTAAAAAACAATACATTTAATTCTTTCAAAAACATTTTATGAGGAACTGATAATCTCTCAGATACTGATCACCAGATAGAAGGGAAATTTGCATGATTGAAAGCAATATATTTGATCACAAAATAGATAGTAATACATGATGTCTGTATTGAAGTTAATATATGGTCAGAAATTCAAGAAAAGCTTAGACTAATATTGAACTGACAAGGTATATAAACCCATACTAACCCCCATGCCAGCAGAGGAAATCAATGAGATGACAGCTCTACTGTTTGGAGAGGGGTTGCTAAGGACAGTTTATTCCTTTATGATTTCAACTCTTGACAGAAGACAGGTCTGCTTGTTGCATCATGGCAGATGGATCATTACCTTCTGGCCCTGTCATGACTGAACTAGAAAATAAACCGTCTTGCAATTCTGAAAATCCCATTGGAATTTAGGGCATGCTTTCCAAGATACATGTTACTGTTGTATTAATTGTGTGTATTGCATTCTTGCAGTTTTCTGTACTACATTAATTTGATAATGTAGAGATATTTGCTGATTGGTTTGTCTTTATTCTATTGGCTGTCATATTTTAGAGCCCTGTAGCACCGTGTGTTAGTTTAATATTATTTTGTCACTGACCTAAGAAAAATCACTGTTCAAGATAAAGATAGTTGGATAAATGTGACTTGAAAATATATTTTTCTGCCCCAAAGCTATTTCAGCATTTTTTTAAACTGGCTAAGTGTGGGGCTAAGAAAACACACAGTGAATATTTAATA